AGATACGAAGGCTTTGGCGTGTGCAAGCAAAGAGCGAGTGCGCTGCACGGAGGCTCCCAGTGCCCCCCAGTGCCCCCCAGTTGCCCCCTGTGCCCCACTGGGACCACCAGCGCCCCCCAGTGCTGGTTGAAGTCCTGGGTTGGGTCCATGGTCACCCCACGGCGTGGGGCAAATCCACGGCCAGACCGCGGGTCGCCCCGCGCTGTGGAGCACCCACGGGACCCCCGTGGTGGGGCACCTCGCACCCCCGGGCAGCTCAGGGGTGATGGACCCCATGCGAGGCTCCCAGGCGCCGTGGGGGCACCTCCATGACCACCTCCATGACCACCTCCATGACCACCTCCATGACCACCTCCACGTAGCACCCCTGGGGTGGCCGTGGGGTGCCCATTCGGTCTCCACGGGGCACCCTACGCTGCTGAACACCTCAAGGGTCCCATGCGTGAGGCCTCCAAGCATCCCAAGACAGCTCCATGACCCCCGTGGTGCACCCCATCCGATCGTTCCCCCACGGAACGTTCTGGTGGTGGTTGTGGGGTGTCCTCTGGACCTCTGTGGGACACCCCACACCACGGGGCACCTCAAGGGTGCCAGATCCCTGTGCAGTAGGCCCTCAGGCACCATGGGACACCTTGAAGACCACCTCAGTGGTGCACCCCACACAACAGGGAGATGTTCTTGTGGTGGTTGTGGGGTGTCCTCTGGACCTCTGTGGGACACCCCACACCACGGGGCACCTCAAGGGTGCCAGATCCCCGTGCAGGAGGCCCCTGGGCACCATGGGACACCTTGAAGACCACCTCAGTGGTGCACCCCACACAACAGGGAGATGTTCTTGTGGTGGTTGTGGGGTGTCCTCTGGACCTCTGTGGGACACCCCACACCACGGGGCACCTCAAGGGTGCCAGATCCCCGTGCAGGAGGCCCCTGGGCACCATGGGACACCTTGAAGACCACCTCAGTGGTGCACCCCACACAACAGGGAGATGTTCTTGTGGTGGTTGTGGGGTGTCCTCTGGACCTCTGTGGGACACCCCACACCACGGGGCACCTCAAGGGTGCCAGATCCCCGTGCAGGAGGCCCCTGGGCACCATGGGACACCTTGAAGACCACCTCAGTGGTGCACCCCACACAACAGGGAGATGTTCTTGTGGTGGACATGGGGTCCACCACTGGAAAACACCATGGGGCACCATCGGTGGGGCTGGGGGGTGGGCGGGCCGCGGTGGCCTCACCCGAAGAGGCGGAGGAAGCACGGGTGGCAGTAGGGCTTGCCCTCCTGCTCCTGGAAGGTGCCCTTGGAGAGCGGCCGGAGGCAGAAGGCACAGACGAAGTGCTCGGGGTGGAAGCGCTGGGCCATGGCGGTGACGCAGCGGCCGGCGATGGGCTCCCCGCAGCCCCGGCACAGGGACCCCCGCCGGGCGTGGAAGTGCCGCTCGCAGTAAGGGTGGCCACCGTCCTCGAAGAAGGTGCCCCCCACGAAGGGCGAGAAGCACTCCTGGGGACACGGAGATGGGGTGGGAACGTCAGGGACCAGGGGAGGTGGGGACGTGGGATGTGAAGTGCTCCTGGAGGTGGGACATGGGGACGTGGGGACACCAGGGACCAGGGGAGGTGGGGATGTGGGATGTGAAGTGCTCCTGGAGGTGGGACGTGGGGTGTGGGGACACCAAGGACCAGGAGAGGTGGGGACGTGGGATATGGGGACACCAGGGACCAGGGGAGGTGGGGACGTGGGACGTGAGGTGCTCCTGGAGGTGGGACGTGGGGTGTGGGGACACCAAGGACCAGGGAAGCTGGGGACATGGGGATGTGGGGACACCAGGGACCAGGGGAGGTGGGGATGTGGGACGTGAGGTGCTCCTGGAGGTGGGACGTGGGGTGTGGGGACACCAAGGACCAGGGAAGCTGGGGACATGGGGATGTGGGGACACCAGGGACCAGGGGAGGTGGGGATGTGGGACGTGAGGTGCTCCTGGAGGTGGGACGTGGGGTGTGGGGACACCAAGGACCAGGGAAGCTGGGGACATGGGGATGTGGGGACACCAGGGACCAGGGGAGGTGGGGATGTGGGACGTGAGGTGCTCCTGGAGGTGGGACGTGGGGTGTGGGGACACCAAGGACCAGGGAAGCTGGGGACATGGGGATGTGGGGACACCAGGGACCAGGGGAGGTGGGGATGTGGGACGTGAGGTGCTCCTGGAGGTGGGACGTGGGGTGTGGGGACACCAAGGACCAGGGAAGCTGGGGACATGGGGATGTGGGGACACCAGGGACCAGGGGAGCTGGGGACATGGGGATGTGGGGACACCAGGGACCAGGGGAGGTGGGGATGTGGGACATGAGGTGCTCCTGGAGGTGGGACGTGGGGTGTGGGGACACCAAGGACCAGGGGAGGGGGGGACATGGGGATGTGGGGACACCAGGGACCAGGGGAGGTGGGGACGTGAGGTGCTCCTGGAGGTGGGCCATGGGGACGTGGGGACACCAAGGACCAGGGGAGGTGG